GTGATGAACTGCCACAGCTTGTTACCTCAGCCTGGGCAGGAGAGTGACAGCACACGGGGTTCGACTTTAACTGTACAGATGGAGAGATGATAACGAGTCATCCATGCATCTCCAGCCTCATTCAGCCTGAACCAACCACCATCATTTTAAAGGCCAGACAGACACACAGGGACCAAAGCAGGCATCTCTGCTTTCCTGTTGTGAATCAGCTACCCTGAAATAACATCATTACATCAGTGAAAATATGCTTCACTGTCATCTACCCATAAAATAATCCTCCTGTGTGCTTTGACTTTTACAAGCAGGTGTTTAGTAACAACATTTGCTTCCTGTAGAATTTAAACCAAAATGTATCATCAAACTTAAAATTTACAAGCGATAGACAGCACAGAATGAACAAGCTTCCGACTGTGCTGCTTCACAACTTAGAATGCTTTGCCAAAACTTTTAAAGAAATCCCTCTTCTTTACCTGTGTAGAAGTCTGTGTAACTGTCGAGCTTGATTCTTAGCACCCACTCTAACTTTTTCTACACAACGAAAAGCCACCTTATTCTTCAGCACAACTAACCAACTCATTCAATTAATAAAAACCTGGGTATTGTCGAACACGACTGAAATGCTCCTGAGGATCCCGTTAAGGCCACAATGAGAGGCTCAGAAGTCTTGAAAACAGGATGCACAAGAGAAAAGGCAGGGCAGTGTGGGTATTGGAAGGGCATGACAGGACATTGCATAACACATTGAAAATGCATGGAAACCATAAGCTTGGGCTTATCAATGCACAGCACCAAGCTTACACTAATAAAAGTGGAACTGGTATGTTAATCAATTGTGCTAGTAAACCAAGTCTACAGTGTGTGCATCCTTGGCTAAATTAGTCAAGAGACAGAGTTTCATAGTCCATGAAGTTTTCTAGCCAAGGTACTGCAATAATTTCAAAAATGTGTGGCAGGAAATTACAGGATTAATGCTAATTGCAAGGTTCACCAACAGTCATCAAAAGTGTGTAATGATTGATCCAATCCCATTAATAAACCGCTGCTTTGTTATGAAGTGCTGTAACATTTTAGCCAAAAGAACAATCTCCCTCAGGGAATAACCCAGTTCTGTTATGCGACATGATCCTTGTGCCATTTCTGACTTCCATTGTCTGTGCCACCCGTCACAAAGTGCAACAAGGTAGCATGGATAGTCAATTAACATTGCAGTTACAGATATGGTTCCTACACCAACTGCTAAATCTGGTAAACTCATTCACATCGCCACTGATCTTCAAATCCAACTTTTCTTTTCCCTTTTACTCCTTCCTCCAACCACCCACCTTCTGAGGGAAACCCTTTATGACTCAAAATCCTCTCTAATCTTCGTGGAAACTCAAAATCAACGACCTGTTTCTTAGCGTGCTGTTTGTTTAAGCTCAGGCACTGGGCTTCAGATTTCTGATGGCAGCAGGAACGTGCACTGTTTTGCCACCTCACAACTCCACTTGTCTCATGTTTACCTACAATCAATGTGAAATTCTTATTGCAGAGCTGCAGCCATTGTTCATGAATGAAACAGTGTTGTACAGAGGTGTGAATGAATGTGACTGTTATTTGTATCTCTAACACTTGCCCTCCACAGCTCTCTGCTAGAGTGCCAAGTTTAGTTTTCACAGTCACTGTGCAACACACAGTGGGACCCATTCCAAAACTGTGGAAGTTTTCCACCATCACTCCTCCTAGATGCACTTCACAGACTGTTAACATTACTCAAAGGAATACAAGAAGAGTCTTGGAGCCAAATTACAGAAGGCCTACACGGCTAGCTACACAGCTGAATGGGCAAAGTGAGATTCAGAATCATTCAGGGTGTTCAGCTGTGAATGTAACACTCATTTGTGCCAATCGGAGATTTGCCCCTGGCATATGCTATAATGGGAACAGTAAGAAAATGTGCGTCATGAAAAACTAATGTATACATGTCATACATTAGACATACACTGGCGGTTTACAAACACAATGTGACACAAGATAAGTTGATTTTATGCCATAAGACATAGCCATGAGTTTATTGCCTCAAGGCCAGAGCTTTAGCAATGCTCATGACTGGGATGGATTTTGCCTGAATCCCTGTATCGGGATTAGCCTTCATTTACAGGATAGTACCTCAAGATGAGACAGTGACCTCTCAGAAGATCTGCCCTTGTCCATCACAGTGGGTCAGTGGCACATCCTTAAGGAGGAACAGACAGTCTCCTTAACTGGGTCATCTTTGCAGGGCAAAGGAAGAACCTTATATCTTGTCTGTTCTCAAGAGGCACCCACTTCCAGACAAGAGGATGAATGACGGCTGTATGTCCGGATGTTAAAAGACCCTGTTACTGGCCTTACTTATATTGTCAATGGGAGGTGTTCTCGTGAGCAAAACACACATATGTATGTTTATTACTTGTCTTAATGTTCATTGATAACAGTTAAATATTCTATCAAAAAATGTAAGCTTTGAATTCTTTTAGTTTTACTTAAGCATATATTTACAGCTATACATCCTTTACTTTGATATGATAAAAGTGTAGGCGTCGTCTTCTTGCATCAACTTTATAACAACTATTAGGGAAGTTGCAGGCCAATAAAAAACAGAAACTGTACAGAAATGCGGTCCAGTTTTCCGGTGCATCATCACCACTTCAAGCAATTCACAAAACCACAAACACGAAATAGATGAAAAGCTTGCGTTGTGCATAAGCCTTACGCAACTTGGCTGTGTAATACATCTCAGAGGTGGGCTGCTTTAGAAAGTGATTCTTTTTTACTCTCACCAGTGTGTTACGTTGTGTGTTAGTGATTGTGGCAGAGAAACATTTGACAACAAGTCTGTCATTGTTAATCATGCAGGACCAAAGAAAATCAATGGCATTCATGCACAAGTGACAACTGTTCCACGGCCTCACAGAAAAACCTGCAAGTTGATAAACTGAAATCTAAGGGAAACCAATAAGGAAGTCGGTCTTCCCTTGGGAAAAATACTTCTTCCACAGTTGTATTATATGAAAAAACACATGATTCTAGTGCTTAGAAATGAACTAATTTAGGTTTGTTTGTACATTACCAGCACAGGCAAGACTGGTGATAGCTGGCCTTCCCCTTCCTCTGTAATCTGACAGGGAGATATAGGGTGGCTCCTAAAATAAAAGCTGAATCCACACTCCAGGCCCAGTCACTTTCAGATTTTACAGTATGAGAGCCAGAAATGACAAATCTCAGCAGCTCTCTAATGAGACTTTAACAAATGGGATGGCTGTATTTAGGTTATTACAATACCAGTAGATATGCATTTGGACATGTGCCTTTGTGCATGCCTGATAAATTCATACACATTCTTATAATAAGGGATGCTTACGAAAGTACAATTATTAATGTGCATTCAATCCAAAAAGGTTGACAAAGAGCCTGCTATACGCTTCGTTTGACTTTAATCACAAACAATATTTCTAACACAATGTCCATTTAGGCAAAAGACTGTAAATTGGCTATTAGCAGACAATTGTTCAGCAAAGAAGCAACACTGAATTTCCCTTTAAATTGATTTACATCTACCAATATAAGGCAGTGTTTCTGAAAATAATTAGGATAGTATTGAGATGACATACAAGCCTTGTATGCTAGTATGACACTACTTATCAAGGTCCGCCAAAGAAAAATGTATTTCCTCTTCTTTATTACAAATGTTTATGATGTTAGAAGGTTAATATAAGCTGTTCAATAAATCTAAATCCAATTGATTGACACATAGTATTAAAACAAATGAAAGGGGGTTATTTGTACATCCCTTGAATACAATTTATCCATACATAAATAACACCCCTTCTTAAACTAAAGTCTAAAGAATTAGTTATTTTGTGCAGAGCCCAAGATTCATACATGTCCAAACTATACACTGACCTCACTCAGGCCTGCAGTGAGCCGGATTCATCTTCTGAATCGTCAACACTAAAAAGATCTTCTTGTATATATTTAATTATCTATAGTCAAGCTTATCAGCTGATTTCTTTATGCACAAAAGCTTACTTAATTTTTTAACCTGAACTAGGCAGTTTTGCTGTTATATGACTGAGTGAGGCTTTTTAAGTGTCTGGTATCTAACTTCTTACATGTTATCCAAAATAATACTGGTAGTAATGCACAATATGTTGTGTAATAATTTTAAGCCATTTGTTGAAACATTGTAAAAAAAAAAAAAAAAAAAAGATCCAGAGCAAAAATAGTTATAACATAGATATAACATGTTAGCTTTATTAGTTGATGAATCATCAAATAGAGTACTTCTTTACAATATTTTCAAACCAACTAATCACTTGGTCTGTGCTGTGAGAATAACTCAAATCCTTTGTTTAAACTGCTTCCCTGGAAGAATAAGATGCACTTCAGTATACTGAATGTCCTTTAATATTTGATCATTGCTAAATCAATTATTGATCAGGAAAAACAGACATTAGAACTGCCCTGTGGGGGTTTCAACAAAAATGTGATTGTTTAATCAAATTAGGACTCAATGGATCATCAAACTGCACATTCCTTTACAAATTTTACATGCTCAGAGAAGGCTTGATTCTTCCAAAAGTTCCACTTGGCAATGCAAAAGAAAAACAGTGAGTGTGTGTGTTACTAAATAGTAATAACTTAATGTGCAAAGTGTTGGTAATTGTCTGATAACCACTAACCTCTATTATTGTCTTGTGTCATTTGTGCCTTTGTATTTTGTCTTTCTCTTACCTGCCTAGGGACAACAGATGGAAACTAGCACTTCTGCTATAATCTGGCATTCAGCTGTAATTGTTACAGCTGTTCATTAATATGCACTGTCCCTAACAAGTAAATAAATACATTTTAAAAATGAAAGCTGTGAACGTGCAAGAGTTCACACTAGTCATGTTGGGACCTCAAGTGTTTATCAGCAGAAGGACGTGAACTCAACAAGTTGTAAGGTGTAGTATTTTTTTGACTAGGTGTATACTCACTGGTTCGTAGGAGGTGCAGAGAGGGGGAATACCACCTCTTCTTCTTCGTATTCCGGTCCATCCTGCAAGTCGCTCTCATCCACAGTGCCACTGAGCCCCCCACAGCCTGGTGGGGGAGGAGGTGGTGGAGGCAGTGGGGGGAAGGCAGTGGGTCCATCCGGGCCTGTTGATGTGGGTGAAATCCGACTTACTGGACCCTCCGAAGTGGGAGAGCTGCAAACGCTGCCCACGGTCCCTGAGGTTGTTCCTTGGAAAGCTGAGTGTCCACCTCCTGCTCCGCCACTCCCTGTAGCGGACAGCACTGGCCCGGTCACGTCCCCGCCAGACACGGGATAGACCATACTCATGTCAGGAAGCGAGTCCGGAGAGGTGTTTGAATTTTGACGGAGGGCCGGTGTCGGTCCTTGTCCCAAGTCGGTCACACGCACTCTGCTCGGTTTGGGATAGTAGGGGAAAGGGGCCGTCTCCGGGCCTCCTCCGCCTGCCACCCCTGTCCCCGCGGTGACCGAGCCCGTATCCTCACTGCTGACCTCCGCAGCCATCATATTCACCAAATACGTAGAGGGGAAAAAGTCCAGAAGGGAACCTGCCCTTCCCCTCTGTTCTTACAACACTCCGTCAGTGTTTTGGGCTTCTGGAGAGACAACAACAAAAGTTTCTCAAAAAAAAAAAACGCGTTCAGCTAAGCCCCAGCTAACGTTAGCCGCCAAGCTAACTTAGCTTACTAGCCCAGCTAACGCTAAGCAGCTCCCGAGACACTTGATGAGTTCTTCCTCGCTATGTCTTCATCGTTTCCTGAGTTAAAAGTTCACAACAAATACTCTCGTGTAAACTAACTATAGTAACGTTAACAAAAAAAATAATGTTAAATCACCAATATTTCCTGTTTTATCTGCTCGGACTTTACCCACGGCACCAGGCGGACCACTTGTCGGGGAGTGTTGTTTTATTGTCACTGTTGTGTGTAACCCTCGTCTGTCTTTTTTTTTTTTTTTTTTTTCTTCCAGTGTTGTTGTTGTTTTCTTTTCTTGAGAGTTTTCTCCAGCACGTCAAAAATACATCCCACAAACGTCCCGGTTCCTGTCAACCAAGTTCCCAGAAAAAACGTATGTTGCGAACTACCGTGGACCACAGTGAATTATTGTTACGCATGTAAGCTAAGTTCGCCTTTATTTCTAGGTTTCAGGGCTGGTGGCTTGCCCGCCGCCGCTGCTGCTGCTGCTGCTGCTCTCTCTTTCTCCCCTCCCTCTCCAGTCAGCGTGCAGACACAGCCAAGTGAGCACAGAGCGGCACCGGCTCCATCCATGATATCTTCTATCGGTATTCGAGGAAATCGGGGCTTCAATCCTAACTTTTATGCAGCCACACAACAGGTGATAGTGATCCAGTTTCTTAAAGATAAAACATATACAACTCGTAATGTTTTGATAGTGTTAAGAGAATAGACGCAGGGCAAGTTGATAGGATTTCAGATCAGCTTCATCACTTACTGTTTTTTTTTTTACCCTCACTGAGCTACATTGAGTTAATCTGTGCAAATCATAATTATATTAACCTTCTATGTTTGCTTCAATCTAAGATTCTCTTTTGGGGGCAATGAACAGAAATATTTTCAGACTTATGGATTGGCATCAGTGAATCATCCCAGCTCTGCAGTTTGCATACGTATTATTCTTTCTAATTAGGATTACAAATGCATGTAGTGGGGTTTTTAATCATTACTTTGACAACATTTTGGCTCAGATTTTATGATTAAAAAGTCTAATTTTTTCCCCAATAAATCTTATCTGAAAGCTTAATTTGAATTGTTTGACAGTATGAGGACGGGGAAAGTTGTTAGGGATGATTAGTGACAGTTGTAATGTTATAGGACATTGCATCAGGACAGGACCCCTTAACATACAAGCAAGGAAACCAATATTTTCTTTTTTTTATTATTGTTTTTAATAATGCTCGTCATAGACAGAGCCACAATAAAAACACTGACCGACTGACGACTAAAAAAAGATAATAAGATGCAAGGCTGCTGATGTACATTGGTGTCTGACTCCATTTAAGCAGACTACAAAATAAATATAGAAAAACATTCAGCTGCAATTTTTTTTGCAAACTTCTAATAAGAATACAATGGGAATTTTAAAAGTTTGGTTAATTTTAGAGTTAGAGTCTAGAACATACATAGACAGAGACAAAGGCAACCCAGTATAAGACAGAAGTTGGTCTTTAATGCAATATCTGATTAGCTTTGAACACCCTTTTTAGATATTCATTTTCTGTTTGCGGGCTGGAAAGTTGACTCGTAAGCTTGAGTGGGTCAGCCATGGGCTTACGATGGCCAGATAGAGCTCAAATAGTGTGGATTAGAAACAGCAGCAGTGATGCAGCTGCCATCACATTTTTACCTCCACAATGATCCATCTTGGAGCAACTCTCAGGGTAAAAAAAAAGACGTCAAAGCAAATCTAGATGTCTCCTCCACTTTGCTCAGCCCTGTTTTATTCTCTGTCTGAGTCATTTTCTCAATTTTTGAACCCTCGTTTTTCTGTTCCCCCTAGTTTTTCCTACTGTGATTTGACAGTCCTTCATAGGAAGATGGAAAGACAGAGCACAGCTCAATGACATCTGCTGTCAGCCTCCATCTGTGTATCCAAATCTTCGCTGATCTGCTGTGTTCTCTGATCTAATGTGAGTGACATCCAACCATTACTCCCTCCTCTCCTTCACTCTCCCAGTTGTCTCCTGACAAATGGATACTGACATCAGCATGACAGAAGTGCAGGAGCCAGGGTGTTATGAAAAACTACATTACCACTCGGAAGGAAGCACACCTTGCATCCCAGTGGGTCACCAAAGAAGCTAATGCCAGTGTTCACAGAAGCACCGGCTTTCCCTAAGTCCTGTGACTCAGAAGGTCAGTGAACTGTAAAACTGAAGACTCACATTGACTTGACATGTATCCATAAAAGCCACTCTACTTGAAATGCAAAAATACTCAGATGTAAACATGCAAACAAACATGCACGAATCGACGTAGTCAAGCATGCTTATGGAGAAAATAAAGTACTTATGTGTAAGTGGGCTCTTGAAGAGGCACAACAACCTGTTTTTTGTTCACCAAGATAGCAATGCCATCACATTAACTGTATTGCCATGCTTTTGATTTCATTGCCAACCTGTCCTCAAGTGGCCTTCTGTGGTGGCCTATCTCTGTCTCTGTGTGGCAGTGTGACTGAGTCCTGTGGATCCTCACATACTGAGTATAATGAGATTGCAGACAGGATGTGGCTAATCTCCTTTCCCTGGCACGCACAATATGATATGGCTACTTCATACCTGCTGAGAGGTGCAGTATCCACTTTCTACCCTGTTTGGCTAAAGACACTGCCCTGACGGAGTGTGAAAAAAGAGAATAACTGGAAAGGTTAAATAACTGAGTTCAAAACCTTGCCTGCATATTATGCAATCTCATCTATATTATGTAAACCCTCATGTACTTGCATCTTTTTTTTTTTTTTTTTACCTCTGTATGTGAGTTATTTGAGAGCTGTAAGATGAGTGTGTGAATGAGATCAGCAGGGCCGCTCTGCTGTGCTGCTCTGTTTCACCACAACTGCGTTGTCAGATCTAAGCCTGGACACAGATTTGAGGAACATGGGAGCTGGACTGGGTGTCAACTGAGGGCTGTCATACATATTCATTTTAATCTTATCATAACACTTCAGGACCTTTAAAGACAGCACATGGGAATATCTCTCACCCCGTACGCCTTTAAAGCCAAATGTTTCTTTCTTATTGTGACGCATCTCTTGTGATGTGATGTGAAACAGCATCATTATTTCTCTTGATGTGACTCATGATAAAAGCCTCCTTGTTGATAGCTGTTGATGACAGAGTGATGTGGAAAGATTATTTTAGCAACCAAAGTTTGAGTGTGTGTCAAACCTTTCATCCGGTGTTGTTAGCATGTGTAAGAGAAATGTCATACATTAGAAACAAAATGAGCGTGACAGGCTATAAACAGACACGCGGACTACCTTTCTCAGCCTGTGACACCTACACAAGCACACAAACACCTTCTATAGCTAAATGTTTATTTTCTGTGTCAACCATCTCACCCCTTGGTGCCTAATTTAAGTGCTGAAGTCACGAGTGTCCGAGGTGGAGCACACACATTATCGCATATGTTCTTCTGCCTTCTGTTCCCTCGGTTCAATCCGACTTGTGGACACACCAGACCTTGTGTGAATAAATAACAAGATGAACATAAAAGTTTAAAACAGGAAGTGAGTGACACATGGATGGATAGCGTGAGCAAAGGTCCTCAGGACTGGTGGGCTCAGACATTCATGGGATTTATGAAACCATCTAATGCCATGTCAAATGTTAACCAGATGCTTAAAGTTTAATGTTATATGTGAATTTCAAGATGTGGCATTAAACTTTAAATTGTCATCTTCAAAAAAAACTCCAACCAGCATGCATCTGATATAGGTCCCAGACACTGCCATGATGTACTCACTCACCTTAAAATCTATTGAATGCATGAAAGCTGCATGGATTTACTCATGCAATCCTATAAGAAACAACAACTAATACAAGTTATGTTTGGGAATATACTTTCTATAATTTATCTATAGCACTTAAGTGGCATGTTATCAGTGCATCATGATATTGTTGGATATAGCTTTTAATTGCAAGTTCTAGATTTGACCTTTTTTCTGTTTAATATCAGAGAATTCACATGACTGCAGGCCCTCCTTTTGCATAAGATATTTATTATGCTGCAGGAGGCAGCAGGTCCCTTTGTCACTAAACGAACTGCTTTTTGTTTGTCGCTGTGTGTATAAGGGTGACTTGTCATCAAGTTTTGTGGTGAATATAAACTAGAGAGCCTGAATGTGAAAGGGGTGTGCTCTATATCTGTGTCTGTGTGTGCAGCCTGACTTGCATCGGTTTCCCTGTCTGCACACTGTCTTGTAATATTCTAATTGATGCTGGATGAGGCTTTCACTGGCGTTGCCTTAATGTGTGCAATATGTGCCCAGCCTGGCCCCGTTGTGTCACTGAGCTGCTAATGTGTTCAGCAGGCTATGGCACAGACTGCTGCTCTGAACCTCCTGCAGTCTCCCACGGGGAGTTGGAGAAAGGAGGCAGATGGGGAGGCCGCTGTGGGGCTTTATTTGTGGATAACTGCAGGTTGTTTGTATATGTGGAGGGCTAGGTACACATGTATTCAATTAATGCATCCGCATAATCATAAAACAGTGTGCTATTATAGATGAATTTTACAGATAAATACTGCAGATGGCAGAGTGCTTACAGCTGACTAATTTACTGTTTTCTGCAACAATAGACACTGGAAGCCTTTTCTTTTCTGACAATAACGGTGACCGTGTGAGTGGGAAACACTGACCAGAAAAGCTCTCCTACTTTCACTGAGGTTCAGGGGGCTGTTTTTCACTTCCTTTTTTCAGAGGACAAGCGGGGGAGTTTGCAGCTGCCACTTCGAATGCACATATGGGCAGAGTGGTGGTGTGATGGGGGTGGGGACAGAGAGCACATGGTCCTCTCAGTCACACTTTTATGGTGGTAGAAAATGGGCAGCTCCATGCAATGCACCACTTTTGTATGCCTGATATGGCGATCATTTCGACAAGGGAGACTGAGTAAACTCTGCACTAGGCTGGGTAGATAATAGAGGCTATTCTGGAGTAACTCTCGGGCTGCTGTCCTCTGTCTATCTTACAATGAGTGACACAGCAGGATCAGAAATGTGTTGTCTAAATGTCTTATTGTTTCTAATAATAAAGACACATTTGCACATCACTGGAGAGCTGCTCTGCACACAGATATTTGTGTTTTTGTTTTTCAGATATTTCTTTGTGACTTATTTTGAAGAACATGATTGAAGTGAAATGTAATTCAAGTTGTCACAACTTTATTTCTAGATTCTTGTGATTTAAAAAAAAAAGAAAGAGGGTAAACTAAGACACAGCAGTTCCTGCTTTACAAATCCTTCCTTCTCATTTTCATTTTTTCACCTGATTATTTCATTATCAACCTTGCTGTATCTACTTCTGTCATTTTGTGTTAATGTGTTATTTGGCATCACTTCAACTAATAGACTGATACTACAATAATTCAAAAGAAGAGGTACACTCAGCAACCATTGTCATGATTGTGTAAATTTGTGTAGTTTGTTGTCATGCTTTGTCATATTGTTTTTGAAAGCATGCTTGTCCGTCCAGATGGG